GTTATTCTTCCACTGTAGATTATAAAACAAACTCTGATTCTGCTGTTCCCTCCAGTAAGTTTCATCTGTAGATTATAAAAAAACTCTGATTCTGCTGTTTCCTCCAGTAAGTTCCATCTGTAATTATCTGTTATTCTTCCACTGTAGATTATAAAACAAACTCTGATTCTGCTGTTCTCTCCAATCAGTTTCATATACATTTATCTGTTATTCTTTCCACTGTAGATTATAAAACGAACTCTGATTCTGCTGTTCCCTCCAGTAAGTTTCATCTGTTATTGTTCCACTGTAGAATGTGAAAAACTCTGTAATGACAATGCACTTCAATAGTCGTTTCAACAACTTAGAAATAAAGGAATGCAAGCCTCAATAGTATACGAATAAGATAGTTGATATTTAATTCCTATTCAGTATCTAAATATAAAACAATTCGTGTTTCACTTCTCCTCCAGAATGTACAAAGTGATTGTAAATGAATTGTAGGTCTGTGGTATGTAAGTGAAAAACATTAGTTTTGTGATATAAATACTGTTACGTTACTTGAAAGTATGTGGTTAATAGTTTATAGACATATATATTCTTAGTGTGATTAGCTCTGACAATGCAAAGTCATTTGATGAAGATATATAAATAACGTTATAATAATGACTCGTTAGTTTGGAATGTAAAGAACCGGTTTCTAGTTTTAAGTCTGAAAGTTAAGATTAACTGTTTGTTCCACAGTATTTATGGAAGTTTTCTTTTGTTATGAGAGACCAAATAATATAAGTTACTTAGCACTATTTGTTCCACAATATTTATGGGATTTTCTTTTCTTCTGAAAGACCAAATAATAGACTTTACTTAGCATCATTGCTCAAATACAGAAGATCAGAAGTACTAAGCAAATTGCTTTTCTCAATTGGAACTTTATTGGTTTTTATTTTTGCACGCTTTAAAACCAGAATAAAATCTAAGCACAGTAATTCCCATAATTGTGTTCAAAGTTAAGAGTATAAATTTGCATAAGACTTAGCTTATCTATTATAGTTTAGGACATTCATTTTTTTATGAATTTTTCAATTATAGCTTTGGGTTTTCAATAATTTTGCTAAGTAAGAAAAAATCTTACTCCAAATGCAAAATAGCTTGCTTAAAGCTTAAATAAACATACAAGAACAGGGTAGGTGAAGAAGTAGCTAAAGTTTGAGAAAAATAGGGGAGTATTTTGTTTATTGTAAGCCGATGGGTCAGTGATACGTTTACGTACTTGAAAGGTAAAATCTGGGGTTCGATGGCCAGAGCACTTGACAACAGAGTACAGATAGCTCATTGTGTAACTTTGCACTGAGGAAACAACAGCAGTCTTGTTTATTTTTCTATTACTGTACTATGCTACTAATCAGTTAATCACTCGTTGTCATGGCTGATCTTTTATTTGGTAGACCCACTCGTCGTTTGTCGAAAGTTTTAACAAGAAATATCTATTTATTTTACCTACAATACCCGTACAGCAGTAAATCATTATGTCCAACCTAGTGGGTGGGTAACGTTAACTTGTGTTTTTGTGAAAACAAATTTTGGATAATATAGTGAAAAATATGACTTACAGAATATACACATTAAAGTTACTCCCTTCATTAACCGTCATTTTGATACACCAATATTCACTGGTTTACAATGCTTTATTTCTGTGTTAGTAACATTATAAATACTTCCTTATAGACAAAATACTGCATAGTGTCTTATAAACTGTGAGTTTCTTTCTATCTTACATTTACATGAAATACCCTTAATCCGTATTTATTACTATTTTATTATGCCAGGCTGGAGAGATCTTGACAACAGAGAGGCAAGGGGAGTAGGTCAGCTAAGAAAACTGGATGACTTGTTTCATCAGATCATTAATTCCCGGCCTGCTCATGCATCAGAAGTTAAAGGTGTGATTTTGTTTAATTGTGATTAGTAAGTAAGAAAGGGTATCGATCTCTATCAAAATACGTCTTTGCAATTGTAATATCCATATTTACCTAACCGTAAACAGTTTCTTTTTCTAATACGAACCGGAAGTTCTTTGTTTGTTACCAGAAATAGCAAATATTAGACTACTGTTCTAAATAATGATTTTACTGTTGCATACTTTATTGCTTCTTAAGCAGATTTTGGTAAAAGCTGCGAAATGAAAGCATATAGTTGTAAAAAAAATAGTCTGTAAAAGTAACATAAACAAGGTAAAACGACACACACTGGTATTGCTGTTTGATAGTCTCTTTAATAAATGGTGGTTTCGTTTGAAGTACTTTTCAAAAACACAGCGTAATGAAAAACCTCCATCACTTCCTCGAATATAATAATGTTTAACGTCAAAGTAGCACCACTTTTATGGTTAAAGTGACTTCAAAATGTATAAAAATATCTGAATGCACGCGTATAAAACAGTAATATTGTGTACAAGAAGATCGAAAACGTTCTGTCGCTTTAAAATTGATGTTTAATAGTCCTTAGGGATGGAACTAGTTTTAAAATTAAATGTTTCACACTATTTCACATTCAGTCTTATGTGGAACAGAATGAATTAAAACATACTTTCTTCAGATGTATACATGAAAGTATTTTCTCAATTCAAATTTACCATTTTTAATTTTAGTTTCAACAGAACCATCTGACACTCCTCATCAGCAACGTCGTCAGATGAAGAAAAGTCTTAAAAATTTGTTTACTTCATCCCCAAACTTTCAGAAAAATATGAAGAGGTAAGTTTTGTTCTTAATTTTTTAAATTTCATTTCAAATTAATATAGTATGCAATTAAAAAAATAATAACTTCCTTATAAAGCAGGAGATCGGTTTCCCTCGGTGGACACAGCAGATAGCCCGATGTGGCTTTGCTATAAGAAAAACACACATACACTTCTTATAAAGCAAAGTAAGTGAGTATTATGCCAACCAATCACTTTGATGTATTGTTTTGTCACTAAGTAGATTGTGTTTCATTGCTGAATATCACTAAATTGAAACATGTAACTTAAATTGTTAAATACTTCACAATGTCTACAACTTATTTATAAATATTTACGAAAGTAAAAAAAACAAACTATGAAGTAATTTATGCTTATAACCTAAAATCAGTTCACAATGAAAGCTACAATAATAATAATTACTGTTATAGTCTCCATTTTTTAATCTAAACATTTCTAAAAACTTGTATCGTTGTTAAGCCTGAATGAAGATTGCCTTAACGTAACGGGCGTGACCTTAATGTCTGGAACATCATGGCCAATTGTTGTTTGTATCAGTCAAGCTTCTTGACTCCTGGATTGATGCAGATAAAGTATTCTCAGCTGAACTTCACCTTTTAAGTCCAGCTGATTGAACTTTTGTGTTTGAATAACTTTCTGTTGCCCCACCTGTCTCGTTGGGCTCTTAGACACATCCTAAGTCTGCCATTTCCTTGATTCATTATTATTGGTTAATTCCTCATAGTCCACGGTTTTTGCACTGTTAACAACTGTCTTTTCCTTTGATCTTTTAAGAACAGTTTTCATTTTCTAAAGTTTTTATATGCAGTCCCGACCATATGTCCTTCTACTATGTTTACTACTTCCATTCTGAGTAACCAGTTGTCCAATTAAAATCCTTTAAGCGCTTTTAGACCACTATCAGAAGGAAGTGGCGATTTTACACTATTTGATATAGCAATCCCATAATTCCAGGATTGTACTTTTAGTTGTTTATTTACAACTTCAATCGATTTTAGATTCGTTTTCTACTAACAGCTTCCCTTAAAGAAGTACACATATTTTACTTTAGTCTGATTCACATACATATATATTCATTCACTAAGACATACATAGTACGGTCGTGTGTCAATGAATCCGTCATGTCACGTGGAACTCCAGAAAAATTAATTGAGCAAGTTTTTCCACGTCTTCAGAAAGTTTGGTTTGAGGTTTCCTTACTCTGTTCCTAAGCTTTACATCAGAAACTTTTTTCTAATGTAACAAAAACAAATTGTTTGATACTGGGGTCATTAATGGCTGATGGTTGTTATAGTAACAAAAACAAATTGTTTGATACTGGGGTCACTAATGGCTGATGGTTGTTACAGTTACAACTCCTGTAATGAATATCTTGCTATTCATTTTTCTCTATATTAATTTCGGAAACTGTTTCAAACAACGTATAATATACTTAAACTGTTAGATTTTTTAGTTGGACAATGGTGTAGCTGGAGTAATCAAGTGATCTTGTAGTAGTTGTAACAGGTATCGACCAGATAAGTTCTCCTTTGACACATTGCTTTGTTAAGTCGTACAATCTCTTAAGTGGCACTCCATAACTTTTAACACAAACCTAAGCCCTTCTCTCCATACTGAGACACGTGTTGTTGTTTTTTAAAGTCAACAGAGCAGATATATACAGATCTTGCACCAATTCATATTTCTTTTGTATTGTCTGTCTGATTGGGCATATCTGATCGAAGCAGACTTTCTCTGTGATTTGAAACTTTTCCGGTGGTGCCTGATTTTTTTGTTCAAATACAACTCTTGAGAAACTTTTACCAGCTATGCTTTGTAAACTTATCCCTCTATTATTATTGCATTATTATGCATTGTCTTTCTTGTGTAATGGTTCGATAACAATCTTACTCCAATCATTCAGCGTCCTATCTGTTCTCCACACTGACTGTATCACTTTTCTTAACCATTTTGTTAATATTTCTCATCTAAATTTATACAGTTCAGCGAGCAAATTAAAAACACCTGACGCTTTCACATTTCTCATCTGTTCTATGGTTTTCAAACTTCTTCCTCACATTCTTCTCAAGGCCTACATTTACTACCTCAAGATCTTATATCGCATACAGGGTTATATTGGTGGTTGAAACTCTTCACGATTTGACAATGTTCTTTCCAACACTTGGTGTTTATTCTTCAGTGATGTCTGTCTATCTAATATTCTCAGTCAGTCGAAACCAATTTAATTTCTTGCACCTTTCTAACTCACTATTTTTAATGTAGAGAAAAAATTTTTAGAATTAGGCTTCATGGTCTTATGTTCCATTTCCTATGCAAATATTGTCATTTTTCTCTTTATTTTCACGCTGCTTAACTCGTAGTTATTTTCGCTTTTCTTTTAATACTGTCTTCAGTTCTTTTTCGGTATTGTCTTTTGTTTCTGCTTTGTAACTAATCTTCAATTTTCGTACCTCATTTGCCTGCTTTTGACCTTCCTCTGATAACCGTGGTGATATAACTAGATATTTTTCCTGCGATAATGCTCGAATTAAAAAATTCACCATCACTCCCTTAAATTAGCTCCAGTGTTATATAATTAAATCAAATGTATTCAAACTATACGTTATTGCTTGTGTAAATACAAAGTATATCTTTATTTGCTCTTTATTATGTGTGTGTGTGTGGGTGTGTAATAAAATATAAATTCATTATCTATTTTGTGCACTACTCTATTTTGATCGGCAACTAAAATGTTTGTTTGTTTGTTGTTAAGCGTAAATTTACACAATGGGCTAACTGTGCTGTGCCCACCACGGGTATCGAAAGCTGATTTTTGACGTTGTAAGCCTGTTGACTTACCGCTGAGCCACTAAACGCTCTCTAGGTTGAGACTAAGAGTTAACCTGATATAGCTGTCAAGTGAATTAAATTGTGATAATTTATAACAATAATACGAATTAGTGTATAAAGCAGTTTGGGGATATAAATCCAGTAGTAGTAGTAGCTAGAGTGTTCTACTGATTATTTGGACTAATGACGATGTTTTCGGTTATAATGTTCATAACAACTCGCTAGATCTCCTCAACTTAGCCTGTAAACTTGTAGCTTATAACTACATTATAATTATTTACAGTAGTTTAAGCTCTACAAACACATTAAATACAAATACTTTGTAACATTCTAAATTTAACAAATGTATGTGTAATTTGTTTGCCTATGGCAAAGCTACTAAGGTTATCTGCCGCCGTCCCTAATTTTGAAATGCGGATCACAGAGAAGGCAACCAGCCGGCAGCAACCACTGTCAAATCATAGGCTGCTATTTATCAACGAATGTGGAATTGACCGTCACATTATAATACCCCATGGCTGAAAGGGGAACATGTTCGGCGCCAAGTTTCGAACTCGCGACCTGCATATTGTGAGTCGAGCGCTCTAACTATTAAGTCATTCAAGCTCACATATCTCTATAACATTAAAAACAAAAGTTATTGACTTCATGAAATATTTTTAAATCAAGCAATATGTGATTGTTTGTATTAATACTCTATCAATCTACTTATGTGTTATATACTTGTAATGTCGATTAAAAGCAACAAAATTTTGACCTTTCAGAGGGGTTTATCTAGCTTGTCTTTTCTACCACGAAGATAAAATCTTAGTAACAACTGAAGAAACATTACCTGTCTTGGAAGTTGATGAGTCTTATCCTCCATTCCTTCACGCGGACTTTCATTGGCTGATGAAGGTAATGAAACTTAAAAAAGGCAAAGTTTTTGTTGCCAGATTTAGATGATTTTTTTAGTAAGTTACTTATTAAAAAGTTATCATCCAAGTAATATATCTCTACATTTTAAAAAGCTTATGTCTTAGTTTATATTAAAATTGCTTTTAAAAATTATGCATTTCGCTATTAAATAAACAATAAAAAATATACCAACAGTTGTATCGAGTGTTTATTGTTTTTTTTTATAATTGTATATAGAATTACAAGAAAAAAATGTTATAGATTTCAATGATTGACATTTGAGTTTATAACTAAAATAATATTTTGGGGACATTTAATTAACTTATGTATTTGTTTGGAAGAAAGAGCCCTTAAAAATGTATATAGAATACAAGACAAAAACCGCGAACTCCTGAGAAATTAGAAATAAAATTGCGTTTGTTTGGGAAAATTATCAGCATAACTTGTTTTCACATAAACTACATTTGTTTGCGACGTTATATAGTTTCTCATTGTCGTTGTTTTAGCACAAAGACACACGTTGGGCTATCTACAATTTATTCATCGCGAGCGAGGATATAAACTCCAGCTTTTAGAATTAGAAGTCTGTAAACTTATCACTGACTCACTCTTTGAATCGTGAAAACTTGACATGAATACTTTTACATCTTCGCTTTAAAAAGAAATCAATCTTTCTGAGCTTTGTGTCAGAAGGAACAAAGAAAGCTTAGAACTTAGTTAATGTGTGTTATAAATTGACCTCTTTGACAACAATTTCAGGTTGCATGTACATGGGAAGATGTCAAAACTCTTCGACAGGATATGGAAAAAAGCCACAGTGCCTCCACCCTTCACTTCAGGAGTAAACTACTACAGGCCATTGAACAGATGCAGGTTAGTTGACCTTCAGTTTTGGTTTCAAATAATCTAATACAATCGAAATGTTTCTAGTTTACTCTAGATGTGTTATTGACCTAAGTTGTCTTGTATTTGTTTAAGTGCTACCATACAGAAAGAAGCTTACATTATTCTGCATAATTTTCATTTTCAACTCATGCTTTTATTCCTGCTATTTTTGTAAAAGTTACTGTACTATTTGATGTGAATAGCTTAGAGGTGTCGCTAGGTGGTTAAAAGATTCGGGGCTCGGGCCCATAGGCACAGGAATTTTTAGCATTTCAGTATGATATCGATCATGGTTTTCCATTCTGATTTTTCAAATCACCATCTGTGGAATTGGGACACTGTCAAATAAAATCCGGCATGGGCCTCGTATGCCAATGCCCAGCGACGCCTCTGGAATAGCGTTTCGTAAGTTTTTGGACTAATATTTAGTTAAGGAATTACGAAACGGAACATCTATAAACATTTTAGTGCTATTAGGATTTGTAAAATAGTTTTTATAATTGTTTACACATATGCGAATATATTCTTAGGCTGCGTTAGGGACCCACGACATGGGACAGCTGTTTTACAAGCCGTTTAAGGATACTGAAGGAACTCTTGTCATAACCACCGTTAAATATGTCAGCGACCTCAAAAGTCAGAAAAATTTGTCAGTAAGATGGCTTCCTTTATCAAAAATTCAACGTAAACTTCCTTCCATCATTACTGGTGATTGTGGTGAAACGCCATCTGTTAACGAACAGTTACTCTCGTCTCTCCAGGTACGTAGTGCGGTATAGTAAATCACTCTTACACGAATAGAACAATTTTTTTATAAATTGAATTTCAGGTCTTATGTTAAAGTATTTTTAGTTTACGACTTGATTAAGTACAGGTACACTTACAAGACATATTCATTGAACTCCGATAACATCATATAAAGTTATAAGGTGTACTGCTACCGGAAAGCAAACAAATTTAAGTGAATTTACTTAAACTTATTCATAGATCAGTTTTTAGACGTCGCTTCGGTTTTCCTAAACTCACTATACTTTATATGTATGAGTTTATAGAAGTCTTTGGATCAGCTTGAGGGGTGGATACCCTTTGAACTCAGAGGAGTAGGCTGAAACAACCGATTGATCAAACATTTTAAGATCGTTTCTCTTAACCGAAAATTGGTGAAAATAAGGTCGTATTATATATATATATATAACTGGTATTAGCTTTGAAACAAGAAAATCGGTTCTTATTTTTTGGAGACATTTCTGTAATCTTTTAACTTTTTTGTTCGATTCAATCTATTTTCATGTTGATCGGACACCTTTTTTAAATTTAAAACCAATTAATAAAATTTCACTTAATTTAAATTTTTGATGTTTCAGCATTTTTCTGATTTACGTTATTTTTATTTCTTTTGAACTTTCAGGAGATAATCATTTACAATCAGGTCAGTTGTCTTCATTTGTCACGTGGATTGTATCTGGGCTATGTAAAACTGAAAAGTTCTGTGGATGTTATTCGAGTGCTCGTGCCGTGGAAAGCTCCCAATGTCTTGCCTTTCTGCAGGATTAGAGAAAATCCTCATGTAGCAAAGTATGTTTTGATTAGGTATTAATCTTGACACATTAAGTTGTATTTCAATTAAGCCTCACTTAATAAAATACGATATTCTGTAAAGATATTCTACCAATGTTTCTAACCCGCAAAACGTCCAGCACAAATACAAAATACAAATAATACACTGTAAGCTAAGATGCGTACATGTCTGGACACAGAAATGTGAAACAGAATGGCAGGACCTCTCTTGTGGTTAACAGTGCAAACACAACTGCTTTTATATATTACACGGCGTCATAAAAATTGTTCTTATTTTATATTCTTCTGTGTAATGTAAAAGTTATTACAGTTTTTCACCAAATGTTGTAGAAATTTAAACAGAAAACTTACCTTATACTGTAGAAATACAGAGGTTGGGTATGTTATATTAAAATGATTTTGGAGCCTCATCGCGTCATTACAGTCCATATCGCTATGTCCCATCATGCTCTATCTGATGAACATGCTCCTTTAAAATAGTTTTGCAGCATAGCTTCCATTTGCAAAAGGCTCCGTCATAAGTCTGTCTATCTAAAGCACACTCTTCCTTCTTGCAGGTTTTATGTTAACCATGTAGTATATAAGGACTATGGTTTCCCATCGCCCGTTTCAGCAGTCCAATCGGACAGAAATCCAGAGACATTGCGTCCAGCAACTTAACCAATATGTCTTCGTAGGAAACAGCTTAAATACTCATCTTATTCTCCGGCTGCTTCAGGTATACGATGGTTGGACAAACATGTCGTGAAACACCTGATTTGTTTCGCTTTTTCAGGCCGAGATCTTTTATAATTATGTTGCCTACTATTGCCTGAAACACGTAGATGGCCGTTGTCAGTGGCCTTTGTGTTCGTGAATTCACTTGTTACAAATTGTTGCACTTTGCTTACTACGACAGAGTACAACTTGTTACCGTTCATTTTCTGGATAGTCCTGGTACCCCAGATTGACCCGTATTCCTTTGTTTTCCAATGTCATTAAGTGCAAAGGATATTCCTGTCTTAGAAGTTATGAATCCATGATCTGAACACATTTTTATGATCTGTGTGTAAAAATGTTTTGCGTTGGGTTACATACCTTTCCAAAATGATCAATTTTCGGTGGCATCACACTACCTATCAAACGCCAAACAATGTAAAAATATAGTTCTGGTTCATGTCGTTTCGTCGCAACTTTATGTCGGTGTGGTTGTCACATGACTTGCTGATTTGTATATTCATCATTATTTTAACATAACATACGCAACCCTCTGTATAAGTCGGTTGTTTCTTGTAGTTTTCGAAACTTCAATTGAATATAAGGTTGTTTATTTTTTTTAGCAAGACATAAGTACCAGATGTGAAAGCAGATCAATACGCGGCTTAACGTATTAACTTTGGTACTTAATATCCAAAATAAAATTGAAACTATTACAGCGAAAATCATAAGTGATAATTCATTGGGAAAAATGATTAGAACAGTATTTAATAGCTTAACTTTATAACTTTCCAATTTATGTGATTTCTTATTTTGTTTCATCAATTTTAAGCAGCAGTAAGTATCATCAGAAGAAATACAAAATATATGTTCATTTCTATTCGCAGAGAAGAATGGGAATGGATGCAAGCCTTAGCCAATGACGAACAGTCAGATTCTCCAACGACGGTCCAACAACGCTTTCAAAAGCTTTTGACATCAGCAGTTAAGAACCTATGCTCCCATTATAGTATTCCAGCTGATCAGATTGGTACTCACAGGTACGTTACATTGATCACAATTCCCTAATTCGAACAATCTCTCATTACATGTTGTGTCCTACGGATGAAAATTGTTGTGTCTTAATTTTAGCACTGTAAAGAGTTCCAAGAGATGTCAATTTGGTGGTGTAAGCAACTTGGGTTCAAATAGTGGACGTTTACCATTTGGTGAAATCTTTATATTGCAGAGTGTTGTATTTTTGTGAAACAAAGCATTTTATAAACTTATTGGTTACTTGATAACATTTTAAAATCAAAACACTAGTTATTTCTTAATTGCTATAAAAAATCCATTACAAATTCGTTTTAATTTCTTCCAGGTTGTAAAATGTCGATCATTGTTGATTGGTAAACGAATTAAATCGGTATATTTTTGTACATTTATTTTCTCATTATATACAAAGTTATTAGCGTATAACGGGCTTTGTTTTAGGCACTTTTATAACTCTAAAACTTCCGTACAGAATCTACGAAGCAGAAGTGATTGAACTGAGTCCAGACGTTTCTTTCGTGCTCATGATGCCCCCCCTTGACTCCGTTTGTTCCGTACCTGGCCAGTCGGATGAGTTGACGTCTCGCACGGACTGTATTCCCCTTCCCGTGCAGATCTTTGAAATGAGTAAGTTTTAAAACTCATACGTGAGATTTTCAAGAACGATATCGCGATTCATTTCAGTTTTCTCTTTCTATATGTGTATATAGTTCACAACTTAGAAATATTCTACCTGGTTTTAATCATCATATGATGTGATGTCTTGGACGCCATTCGAATAATAAGAGATTTAAGCATTACTCGGTTTAAAATAAAATCAAGATCAAGTAATCTAATATTATTTTACTTTTTATTTGTTTTTAAGTTTCATGTCAAGATTACTTTAGCTGTTAAACTCTCTTTTTAGATGTGTTCACATTTTGAAATTACCACTAGAAATTTCCTTGAAAGCTCATTTCATTGTAAAGTACGAATTTGTTATTTTTTGATTAACTTTGACACTTTTTATCTATTTTGCTAGTTCACATGAAGACGTACAATCCCAACTTTATCGCTCGTTACTCTCGTCTTTCTTCAATCCTCGAAATGGACACCATGCTTGCACAGCATGCCCAACGAAAGGTATAACTTTTTGTAAAGTGAACATACTGTGTATAGAAATCAATATATGACATATATATTTAATGAATACCTCAGATCACAAAATAATGTCACTTTTTTTGTAAGAATAAGATTTTTTAAATATTCTAATAATGTAATATTCTGACGCTGGAGCAACGTCTAGTAGTATAGGTGACCCACACTTGAACTTTTTCATACAAATAGAATGTAATCTGAGCACCACGCTGTTTCATTAACTTGCACACACTCAAAATGATTGTACAACGTGCTTCGAAATGACGGGGGGGGGGGAGGCTCATCATCACGTGCAAATAATGATAAGCTAGGAGTCAGCTCATTACATGTCCGTTTCTGTTAATAAAACAGTGTGTTACTGAATACGTTGTACCTGTTTCACATGGAATAATATTTTTTTGTTAGCTATCCTACGAAGAGATATTTATTTCAGGGACTTGTCTATCGGGATGGAATTAGGGGCGGAATACCCCCACATTTGAGAGCTGTGTTTCACTTAGCAGCCTTCATTTGGAATATAGTCTATTAAGATTTTTAAATTCTCTACGTTATGACTTCCATGACATGAACGTATAGATTTTTCTGCCCCCTAACTAACTCTTTGTCCCCTAAAATAAAACTTCTTAGAAACGCTACTGATCTAGCTGCAACTTAATTTTAGAAGAATGTAAATAGTGTTATTTTGTTAAAAAATGTCGAATCTTTTGTAAAAAATATAATTCCTTTTATTTTTGAATCACTATGTTAAAGTCTATAGAGAAAAGCTCTTTCAAAATAATAGTATTTTAGCACAACTTTTACATAACTTAAAGTTAATTTAACTGTATATTTCTGTATGTTTTGTAGGCATTTTCGTCATCAGAGGTAACATCAGCAAAACACCGACTGAATCAGCTGCAGGAGTTTCAAATCCAAGTAGACAACACTTGGCGAGCCATGCGGTGGATCATGGACGTGTTAACCTTTGCTAGGGATAAGCAATCCAACTGTGGTATTTCTCTGGATCACATAATGATCCAAGATACAGGATCTCCTTCTCCACAGTCTTCCCCTCGGCAGTCCTCTGTACAAGATATTTTCAGTTACAAAAGAGAAGAATGTAGGCTATCACCTGATACTTCTTTAAAAATAGCATCTTCATCAAGCTTGCAAAATACGGAATGTCGTTACAAAGAAATACGTCGAAGCGCGTCTACTTCTCGCTTGCTAAAGAACAACTCCAAACCAGAAACGGACATGAATGATTCTGCAGACTTATATTCTCCTAAGGATACCAGTTTTAACTTAGTTGCAAACACCGTGGAAGTAGACTCTGAAGAAGATCAATTAACAATAACTCATCACCCCGACTCATCTCAAAATACAAATATGGGTGAAGATGAAGAAAAGGAACGAAAACAAGAATGGCTACTTGACCTTCCAGACTGCATAGTGCTTTCCAATAATGAAAGTTTGCGGAGTAGTATAACTGACAGTATCAGGTCGTTATCATCTCATGAGGCAGATGGTGTCCAGGCAGACGAAGAAGCTTCAGAGAAAGCTAGCGTTTACTCAAAAGACAGTGCTTGTAGCATCGGTGAAGGAACTCAACTTTGCCAGAACAATTCTGTCAGTGAGGAAGAAACGTCAGACAGCGATTTCTTCAAAAGACCGTCATCGTCAAACTCTAACTCGTCTAATGGTTCGAATCCAAGCGCAGCACAACCAGATATTTTGCGAATTTACATAGCTTATGAAAGTGGCTTACCTAGTGGCACAAGTGTGAAACTACATGTCTCCCCACACACCACAGCTCGAGAAATAGTCGATCTGGTTGTCAAACAGCTTAATATGGCTGTTATTTTAAAAGGCCGAGGAGGGCCAATTTATGCTGCAGCTCAACTAAAAAACTTCTGTCTAACTGCAGTACTAGGCACAAGAGAGCGCTGTCTAAGTGATGACTTTCAACCACTAAGCTTACAAAATCCATGGACCAAAGGGAAGCTCTTTGTGCGTATAAAAAGTGACATTACAGATTCTTCAAAACAATAATTCCCTTCACTGAAGTGTTATCAACCATGTAACTAACTGTGAAGTGCGGTTCTTATCATAATGATGTTGTATATATAGAAATCACCAGGTGGACTGTGTCAGAAGATCTGTTATATCTAATTCCTGCACTGGAAATGTGATCTAGTTGTTCATTCGCTCGGACATAGATGCAGAGATACCTCAGACTAACAGTCATTTTTCTTTAATATCTGTATTGCTTTGTTGTTAGTATATATAGTATCAAATACTTGACATCGCTATTTAAACCTCGCATAACTTGAAAAATAAAGCAGATAATCTAGGAATGAATTTCGATGAAATGTTACATTTGTAAAAAAAAATAATGAAACACAAGTTTAGTTTTTAAAACACCACAATACTGAAATTCAAAGCATCTAATATGTGGTACATACAGGTGTTTGAGAATCTGTATTTTTTTATCTTTTGTTGTTACTTGAAGTGTTCTTAAAACATTATGCATGAATCTTTTTATCTTTATACCAGATTGTTTTCAAGGAAAATTTATGATTCTTGAAGATTAAGGTTATTGATTATTTAAATTGTTGACATGAGTGACGTACTGATATACATTCTTAGTGTTAATTGTTTGATTATTTACTAAAATTTCACAAAACGAGAAAGCAGCCAATTTTCAAAACTGCCAGTTTATCATCTGTGATGAGATGTAAGATTAGTCTTAACCTAAGTTTTTTGATCATGAATACAATTCTCTTTCTCAACATCAGAATTGTAAACCTTGTAGAATATAGTTGATGAACATGGTGTACTTTAACTTACCCATTAGCAAAAGTATTTATAGAATAAATGATTTAGTGACTCTTTCTTATCTTATATACGACTACACCTAGCAAAGCAAAATGAACCTGACAATGCGTTGTAAACATCTACATATGCCCGGAGTGGTCTGTATATGAAGAATTAACGTGTACAGGCTAACTAGAAGTAAAAATGTGTTTATTAGTTGCATTGTTGCTGCATTTGTATATAAAGCTTTGTTAAACTATTATTGCAGCACCATTCTGTTACCGTACACTATATATATATATTTAATAAAACATGCATCACATATATAGACTGTGTTTTATTGGGTTTTACTGTCTTAAAATGCTAATTGTTTAAGATATTTCGTTTGATTAATAAACTCAACAATACTTAAACACTGATATTACTATCTCTTTGGTGAGGAAACTAAGGCTACGTTAATTATCTGTGTTGTATTTCTATGATACCAACACACATGTCCATCTTAGCCATTTGTTTTAGTTTTGATTTATAGGCACGGTAGTGACTTAATCCAAATTGAACTTTTGGTCAAATCTGGAGTATTGTCACAGCTGTTCCAAGTGTAGGAATGCCAACAACATGTTCATGAAGAGATCTAACAATTCTTACATTATACTAAAAACACCAGTTTCGTATCTGTTTCAGATTAATAAAACTAATCAGCCAAAAAATGGTAAAATTATTGTTCTTCTCCTTGTTGAAGAGAACATATAGCAAACAAAGGTTATGTTATAGATTTCGCGCAAAGCTACACGAGGGCTATCTGCGCTAGCCGTCCCTAATTTAGCAGTGTAAGACTAGAGGGAAGGCAGCTAGTCATCACCACCCACCACCAACTCTTTGGCTACTCTTTTTACCAACGAATAGTGGGATTGACCGTCACATTATAACGCCCCCACGGCTGAAAGGGCGAGCATGTTTGGTGTAATGGGGATGCGAACCCGCGATCCTCAGATTACGGGTCGAGCTCTCTAGCCACCTGGCCATACCAGGCCTATCAAACAAAGGAGGACCAGCAGGAATCAAACTTCCACTAGTATGTAGTAAATGAACTAGTGAATACTACTGGTTTGGTAACTTTGATACATATATGAATATTGTTTATTAAAAAGTTTTCATAGATTTAATGTCATAATGCTCTTCACAGCATTTAGGTCAAAAGTGATGACTTAAGGGCCTCTGGGTAGGTGAAAAATCGAAACAAGAAAAGAGCGTAGTGGACTTAGACACTGTATCTGTTGGGGTTCGAATTTCACTTCGGATGGAAACTTATTTTTATTACGAAATATAATCAAAAGAAATGGTAGTGATATCTGATCGAAACATTTTACAAAAGCAACAAAATTATAATAAAGCGATCAGCTATATATAGATGTGATATAAAAAAGAACTAAGTTATACAAAAGAGCAAACCCTGTAAAAACGTTATGAATAAGAAAAAGTTGGGTAAACTGGGTACCAGTTTTATTCAGAATGGAACAAGCAGCAGCATGAATACAAAACGAGGCCAAGTTTTCCCAGTTTTTAACTTATTCACTTTTACTTTACTTCTTAATCGTGTTTGTCCTTTTTAATAACTTGTTATATTTTTAATATCATCCTTTTAAATAGCTGACCGTTTTATTCTAACTTCGCTGTTCTTTATACATGTTTTTGTACAAGTGTTTTGATCAGATATTACTAAACTCATTTTACAAAATTTAGAAGTTCACAAGTTCCAACTGATTGATTATTGTTTTAAATCAATTCTTACTTATGTTCTGGTTAAACTTTATAAATATACATATATGAACTATCATTTTACTTCATATTGGCTATATATTTTTTATTTCCAAATTATTAATCATTCTAACAATGACCCAAATGAATTTGCTTAAAGCTCATTACATCTGGAAAATAAATTATAGTTTTCATGAACTAAACCCATAAAGTTGTAAAAAATAAAACTGCCAAAATTATTATATTAGGGTTTATACTCTATGTATGGAGGAAAATTTAAGTCACGTCAAAACTACGACTGAGCTGTAAATCTAATATAACACATTTTTAAATCAGCCTTTGATTGTTTGTTTTGGAATTTCGCGCAAAGCTACACGAGGGCTATCTGCACTAGCCGTCCCTAATTTAGCAG